CCATTCCCCATCTTGTTACTCACGTTTTGAGGGAGACAGACAGGGGAGCGTCGTGCTGCTGCTGCATCAACAAATAATCACAACGCTTCTCATTCCCTTCAGAGGGGGCTGTGGTGCAGCATTTACCTGGAAATAAAGGAGAGAGAATACAATGTAAGCAGCTGTGAAAAGCACTCAACCAACAAGAACAGCAGTCTATTGCTTTACAATTGGAGGGGCTTTCAACTGTAAGTGAATATAGCCTAGGCCTATAGACAATTTTTCTCCTTTCTCATTGTAAGTGAATATACTCGCTCATCCCCCCCCTCTCTTATTCTTAAGCCTTTTCCATCTTTAATATTTCGGGACATAGGATATGAATGAGAGGAGCCTATTTGCACATGTAGCGTCTAGAGCAGCGCTCGGAGCTCGGTGGATTTCATATGCTAATTCCCATTCAGAGGCAGTAGGCTATCGATATTAAATGACAAGTATGCCGGCGCGCTCCCAACCAAAATCCAAATTTAACTGTCTTCGGGTTGATGATCGTTGCTGTTAGCGCAAGAGCGTGGAATGGCATCAGTCTGCTACCACTAATGGCAAAACAAATGGCTTGGCAGACAGAGGTGTTATGCCAACAAGTGCTATGAAAAAAAAAAACTATGAATCGAATGCTCTGATATATTAGTAGGCTATGCTAGTTTGCTACTCAATCATCTTGCACGCAGGAACAGGCAGTCTAGGTAGACATCCAATGCAAACTGTCATGAAAAACTGGCGACGATGGTTTGGGTATAGGCTAATTTATGCCACATATTGTACTGTGCGTAACCTCTGTGCATATTCTCTATGCATAGACAAAATAATGCACACCTACCTTTGTGATGTAGGCATTTGGATTTCCCAAAACGTGAAAACGAAATCGTTGCAGGGTATCCTTTATGATCTCCTCTCTCTTCCTCACACTATCACCTCCACACCACTACTGAAAGATAAAAGTAGACTGACTCCCTCTAAATTCCATTCCCGCACCACGGGTTCAACCTAGGATGTTTCTAGCGTGAGCTCTGGTTGGCTGACGTCCCAGAGCGCTCCATTTTCTCCTTGTCCGATTGGTGGACCGTTTTCTACTTGTCCGATTGGTGGAGAGCCGTGTCTGTCTCTTATCTGGAACTCATCTATAGGCTACACTTGTGTGGCTGGTGATAGAAAGTTGCTCAGTTTTCACTTTCAAGTTTCTTTAATTGCAAGAAACGTCACGAATATGAAGAATATGAAGATCTAGATATATTTTTAAAGATGTGTCCTGCCTAACTTTGTATTTTTAAATAAAGATAGGGCCAATGTATGACGATTTTTAAATTATTTTATAATTAGATCAGATCTGTGCTATGTGCGGAAAAAAAGCAATCATGCAAGATCAAAGAACAGGATGATTTCCTTTACGGAGGCGAGGACAATCAATAACACATTTACTGTGGTTTGGGTGATCTCTCGGATCTGGTCTGATCTCTTAACGGTTTCAATAGTTTTATCTGAAAGTGGGCTCCACATACGCCACATTTTAGAATGGCGGTTAATTGACATTTGAAATGAGATTGCAGTGAAATCCCACAGGGCACACACTGGTTGAATCAACGTTGTTTCCACGTAATTTGACGTTGAACTAACGTGGAATAGACGTTGAATTGACGTCTGTGCCCAGTGGGATTGCATCCTCAATTTACTAGTGAAAGTGATATCCCTCATTGGAAAGCCTATGACCCACATTCGATATTTGTAAAGTGATCAAAAGGGACGTTTTCAAGTGCTAGAATATTGTCGGATATGGATAGGGGTGGCAGGTAGTTTAGTGGTTAAGAGCGTTGTGCCAGTAACCGAAAGGTTCTAATCCCCGAGCCGACTAGGTGAAAAATCTGTTGATGTGCCCTTGAGCAAGGCACATAACCCTAATTGCTCTGGATAAGAGCGTCTGCTAAATGACTAAAATGTAATGTAAATGGATATGAATTACAAGTTCATTTGACAGGCTATCCAAACTAGGGGTCGCCTGATATGAAAATGGGGTCACATGAGAATTTCAAAAATCCAGAGAAAAAATGTATATATACAAAATAATACATATATTATAATATTGCCTTTGTATCTCAAAATAATTGTAATGTGGTTAACCTTCAAAATCGTAATAAAAAAAATTCTAATGAAAAAAATTGAATTAAACCAGGAGCGCCCACAGATCATGGAAAAAGGCTGCGCTTGACCGTTGCACTTGAACCATTCCCATGGTAAATAGCTAGGCCCGCTACACTATGAAACCATACACCAGGGTTCTTCAATTCCGGTCCTGGAGGGCCGAAACACTTCTGTTTTTTATTTCTACCTGGTAGTTAATTGCACTCACCTGGTGTCCCAGGTCTGAATTAGCCCCTGATTAGAAGGAGAGGATGAAAAACAGAGGTGTTTCGGCCCTCCAGGACCAGAATTGAAGAACCCTGCCATACACTATTACACAGACTTTGATATTACCAACCGCAATTGATATGGTGAAAACAACCTCCAAAGTCAGATAACACTGTTAAAGGAAGAATTTATACAATTGAAAGCAATCAAGAGGAAACTCCCCAGCTTACAGTGCATTCGGAAAGTATTGAGACCCCTTCACTTTTTCCACTTTTTATTACATTACAGCCTTATTCTAAAATTGATTAAATTGTTTTGTTTTTCCTCATCAATCTACACACAATACCCCATAACAGTATGAAAAAAAATAAAAAAATGTATACACTCACTAACTGTAAGTCGCTCTGGATAAGAGCATCTGCTAAATGACTAAAATGTAAAATAATGACAAAGCAAAAACTGGTTTTTAGAAATTCTTGGAAAAAAAGATAACTGAAATATCATATTTACATAAGTATTCAGACCCTTTACTCAGTACTTTGTTGAAGCACCTTTGGCAGCGATTACAGCCTCGAGTCTTCTTGGGTGTGACGCCTGTATTTGGGGAGTTTCTCCCATTCTTCTCTGCAGATCCTCTCAAGCTCTGTCAGGTTAGATGGGGAGTGTTGCTGCACAGCTATTTTCAGGTCTCTCCAGAGATGTTCGATCGGTTTCAAGTCCGGGCTCTGGCTTGGCCACTCAAGGACATTCAGAGACTTGTCCCGAAGCCACTCCTGCGTTGTCTTGGCTGTGTGCTTAGGGTCATTGTCCTGTTGGAAGTTGAAATTAACCTTCACCCCAGTCTGAGGTCCTGAGTGCTCTGGAGCAGGTTTTCATCTCTCTGTACTTTGCTCCGTTCATCTTTGCCTCGATCCTGACCAGTCTCCCAGTCCCTGCCGCTGAAAAACATCCCCACAGCATGATGCCATGACACCATGTTTCACCGTAGGGACGGGGCCAGGTTTCCTTCAGACGTGACGCTTGGCATTCAGGCCAAAGAGTTCAATCTTGGTTTCATCAGACCAGAGAATCTTGTTTCTCATGGTCTGAGAGTCTTTAGGTGCCTTTTGGCAAACTCCAAGCAGGCTGTCATGTGCCTTTTACTGAGGAGTGGCTTCTGTCTGGCCACTCCACCATAAAGGCCTAATTGGTGGAGTGCTGCAGAGATGGTTGTCCTTCTGGAAGGTTCTCCCATCTCCACAGAGGAACTTTGGAGCTCTGTCAGAGTGACCATCGGGTTCTTGGCCCTTCTCCCCCGATTGCTCAGTTTGGCTGGGCGGCCATCTCTAGGAAGAGTCTTGGTGGTTCCAAACGTCTTCCATTTAAGAATGATTGAGGCCACTGTATTCTTGGGGACCTTCAATGCTGCATAATGTTTTTGGTACCCTTCCCCAGATCTGTGCCTCGACACAATCCTGTGTCAGAGCTCTATGGGCAATTCGTTCGACCTCATGGCTTGGATTTTGCTCTGACATGCACTGTCAACTGTGGGACCTTATATAGACAGGTGTGTGCCTTTCCAAATCATGTCCAATCAATTGAATTTACCACAGGTGGACTCCAATCAAGTTGTAGAAACATCTCATGGATGATCAATGGAAACAGGATGCACCTGTGCTCAATTTCGAGTCTCATAGCAAAGGGTCTGAATACTTATGTAAATAAGGTATTTCTGTTTTTTGTTTTTTGTTTTTAATACATTTGCAAAAATGTCTAAAAACCTGTTTTCACTTTGTCATTATGGGGTATTGTGTGTAGATTGCTGAGGAAATTGTTTTATTTAATCAATTTTAGAATAAGGCTGTAACGTAACAAAATGTGGAAAAAGTCAAGGGGTCTGTAACTTCGATTGTAAACTATATCAAACCACATCCATGGATTTAATGTGCAGGGGAAATACAAAAACCTTCTACAGATGAGTGACCAAATCAGTGGATCCAGAGGAAATAACTCTTTAGTCTTTCAAAAGCAAACCATGCTCTCGTCTGCATTAAAACCAAATATCGATCCAGGTTGGATGTGAGAGCAGGGATGAGCACTGTCTGTGCATCTTGACCACTGTCGACCACGCCCCCTGACTTTGAGACGCTCCGACCCGACATTCATCAAGCACACCCATCTCATTAGTGATGGAGAGTTAAGAGACATTATGTCAGACTAATTTGCAATTGACTGTCATAGCCTCACATTAAAAGTATGTCATGGTGAGTTGAGAAGACAATCAGAAATACTGTTAGAATGTTTTTCAATTGACTGCCATAGCCCCAAATAAAAATAGTAAACATTGGCTGTTAATTACATAATTTTTTTCACATGGTTGGGGTCACGAGAATTTTTAGATATCAAAATAGGGTTGTGGGCCAAAAAAGGTTGGGAATCCCTGGGTTAGACTTTTAGCCCTGTAATTACCAGACTGATTAACGAACCATTCATGTAAGATTGCGAGTCTTGGTTAGACATGAGAACAACTTTAGAAATTTGAAATGAAAAGAAAAAGCCTCTTGTTCATTCTCTTTTTCAGAACTCTCAGCAGGAGTTACGCATTTTCTATCATGTTTAATGACAAAGGCATTCAAACTTCCATACTCACCAATACACAAATGACAAACTCCATTCAGAAAAATACAACAAATAGCAACATTTTGGTCTTATGTCTTTGTAACGAGAAAAAAACCAAACAACAAAGATGTCCAAGCAGTGCACATCATCTTGACACCTGACACATATCAGGCCTAAATGTAAAGCAAAAAAATACAAATAAAAGTAAAGGGCTTTTCACACTGCACATTCTTAGCACAACACTAGTCCATTAAGGGCTAGTTTACACTTCTTTCACACTAGTATTCCCACGGGGGGCCAGTATAAAAAAAATATATGTATAAGATAAGAGCGTCTGCTAAATGACTAAAATGTAAATGTAAATATAGTATGTGTAAACCTTGGCTGAATACAGAGTGAATGTTATAACCGTTATAACTGTCTAAACTGTGTTATAACAGTGTTATAACTGTTGGGATTCATTGATGCTAAATCTGCAGTGTCTTCATGGTCCTGGCCACGGTGTCTGAGTTCCAGCGTGCTGCGTCCCACCCCAGGAACCACCCTGTGAAGGTGGGGGGCTCATGACCCTGCTTCACCATCACTATGGAGGTCCTCTTATCCCTACCCCCCGGATCCGTCTCTATGTATGTCTTGGCTGTAAGGAAGGGAGCACATAGACACTGTCAATCAATGGGATAAACCATAGAAAAGAGTGTGTTCACACCTCAAATACACTGAGTGTACAAAACATTAGGAACACCTTCCTAAAATTGAGTTGCCCCGCCTTTTACCCTCAGAACAGCCTCAATTCAATTCTACAAGGTGTTGAAAGCGTTCCACTGGAATGCTGGCCCTTGTTGACTCCAATGCTTCCCACAGATGTTTCAAGTTGGCTGGATGTCCTTTGAGTGGTGGACCATTCTAGATACACACGGGAAACTGTTGAGCGTGGAAAACCCAGCAGCGTTGCAATTCTTGACACAAAACGGTGTGCCTGGCACCTACTACCATATCCTGTTCAAAGGCACTTAAATCTTCTGTCTTGCCTCTCTGAATGGCAAACATACACAAGCAATGTCTCAATGCTTAAAAATCCTTCTTTAACCTCTCTCCTCCCCTTCATCTACACTGATTGAAGTGGATTTAACAAGTGACATCAAAAAGGGATCATAGCTTTCACTGGGATTCACTTGGTCAGTCTTTGTCATGGAAAGAGCAGGTGTTCCTAATGTTTTGTACACTCAGTGTATATTAAAAGGTATATACTGAATGTATATATATATATATATATATATATAAATTATACATAAAAGTAAAGGGTCTGAATATATATATATATATATATATATATATATATATATATATACACTGCTCAAAGAAATAAAGGGAACACTAAAATAACACATCCCAGATCTGAATGAATGAAATAATCTTATTAAATACTTTTTTCTTTACATAGTTGAATGTGCTGACAACAAAATCACACAAAAATTATCAATGGAAATCAAATGTATCAACCCATGCAGGTCTGGATTTGGAGTCACCCTCAAAATTAAAGTGGAAAACCACACTACAGGCTGATCCAACTTTGATGTAATGTCCTTAAAACAAGTCAAAATGAGGCTCAGTAGTGTGTGTGGCCTCCACGTGCCTGTATGACCTCCCTACAACACCTGGGCATGCTCCAGATGAGGTGACGGATGGTCTCCTGAGGGATCTCCTCCCAGACCTGAACTAAAGCATCCGCCAACTCCTGGACAGTCTGTGGTGCAACGTGGCGTTGGTGGATGGCGCGAGACATGATGTCCCAGATGTGCTCAATTGGATTCAGGTCTGGGGAACGGGTGGGCCAGTCCATAGCATCAATGCCTTCCTCTTGCAGGAACTGCTGACACACTCCAGCCACATGAGGTCTAGCATTGTCTTGCATTAGGAGGAACCCAGGGCAACCGCACCAGCATATGGTCTCACAAGGGGTCTGAGGATCTCATCTCGGTACCTAATGGCAGTCAGGCTACCTCTGGCAAGCACATGGAGGGCTGTGCGGCCCCCCAAAGAAATGCCACCCCACACCATGACTGACCCACCACCAAACCGGTCATGCTGGAGGATGTTGCAGGCAGCAGAACATTCTCCACGGCGTCTCCAGACTCTGTCACGTCTGTCACGTGCTCAGTGTGAACCTGCTTTCATCTGTGAAGAGCAGAGGGCGCCAGTAGCGAATTTGCCAATCTTGGTGTTCTCTGGCAAATGCCAAACGTCCTGCAAGGTGTTGGGCTGTAAGCACAACCCCCACCTGTGGACGTCGGGCCCTCATACCACCCTCATGGAGTCTGTTTCTGACCGTTTGAGCAGACACATGCACATTTGTGGCCTGCTGGAGGTCATTTTGCAGGGCTCTGGCAGTGCTCCTCCTGCTCCTCCTTGCACAAAGGCGGAGGTAGCAGTCCTGCTGCTGGGTTGTTGCCCTCCTACGGCCTCCTCCACGTCTCCTGATGTACTGGCCTGTCTCCTGGTAGCGCCTCCATGCTCTGGACACTACGCTGACAGACACAGCAAACCTTATTGCCACAACTCGCATTGATGTGCCATCCTGGATGAGCTGCACTACCTGAGCCACTTGTGTGGGTTGTAGACTCCGTCTCTTGCTACCACTAGAGTGAAAGCACCGCCAGCATTCAAAAGTGACCAAAACATCAGCCAGGAAGCATAGGAACTAAGAAGTGGTCTGTGGTCACCACCTGCAAAACCAGTCCTTTATTGGGGGTGTCTTGCTAATTGCCTATAATTTCCACCTGTTGTCTATTCCATTTGCACAACAGCATGTGACATTTATTGTCAATCAGTGTTGCTTCCTAAGTGGACAGTTTGATTTTACAGAAGTGTGATTGACTTGGAGTTACATTGTGTTGTTTAAGTGTTCCCTTTATTTTTTTGAGAAGTGTATATACAGTACCAGTCAAAAGTTTGGACACACCTACTCATTCAAGGGTTTTTCTTAATTGTTACTATTTTTTACATTGTATATTAATAGTGAAGACATCAAAACTATGACAGAACACATATGGAATCATTTAGTAACCAAAGAAGTGTTAAACAAATCAAAATATATTTTATATTTGAGATTCTTCAAATAGCCACCCTTTGCCTTGATGACAGCTTTGCACACTCTTGGCATTCTCTCAACCAGCTTCACCTGGAATGCTTTTCCAACAGTCTTGAAGGAGTTCCCACATATGCTGAGCACTTTTTGGCTGCTTTTACTTCAGTCTGCGGTCCCGACTCATCACAAACCATCTCAATTTGGTTGAGGTCGGGGGATTGTGGAGGCCAGGTCATCTGATGTAGCACTCCATCACTCTCCTTCTTGGTAAAATAGCCCTTACACAGCCTGGAGGTGTGTTGGGTCATTGTCCTGTTGAAAAACAAATGATAGTCCCACTAAACCCAAACCAGATGGGACGGCATATCGCTGCAGAATGCTGTGGTAGCCATGCTGGTTAAGTGTGCCTTGAATTCTAAATAAATCACAGACAGTGTCACTAGCAAAGCAACCCCACACCATAACACCTCCTCCTCCATGCTTTACGGTGGGAAATACACATGCGGAGTTCATCCATTCACCCACACCGTGTCTCACAAAGACTCTGCGGTTGGAACAAAAAATCTCCAATTTGGATTCCAGACCAAAGGACAAATTTCCACCGGTCTAATGTCCATTGCTCGTGTTTCTTGGCCCAAGCAAGTCTCTTCTTATTATTGGTGTCCTTTAGTAGTGGTTTCTTTGCAGCAATTCGACCATGAAGGCCTGATTCACACAGTCTCCTCTGAACAGTTGATGTTGAGATGTGTCTGTTACTTGAACTCTGTGAAGCATTTATTTGGGCTGCAATTTCTGAGGCTGGTAAGTCTAATGAACTTATCCTCTGCAGCAGAGGTAACTCTGGGTCTTCCATTCCTGTGGCGGTCCTCATGAGAGGCAGTTTCATCATAGCGCTTGATGGTTTTTGTGACTGCACTTGAAGAAACTTTCAAAGTTGTTGAAATGTTCCGTATTGACTGACCTTCATGTCTTAAAGTAATGATGGACTGTTGATTCTCTTTCTTATTTGAGCTGTTCTTGCCATAATATGGACTTGGTCTTTTACCAAATAGGGCTATCTTCCGTATACCCCCCCTACCTTGTCACAACACAACTGATTGGCTGAAATGCATTAAGAAGGAAAGAAATTCCACAAATTAACTTTTAAGAAGGCACATCTGTTAATTGAAATGCATTCCAGGTGACTACCTCATGAAGCTGGATGAGAGAATGCCAAGAGTATGCAAATCTGTCATCAAGGCAAAGGGTGGCTATTTGAAGAATCTCAAATATAAAATATATTTTGATTAGTTTAACACTTTTTTGGTTACTACATGATTCCATATGTGTTATTTCACAGTTTTGATGTCTTCACTATTATTCTACAATGTAGAAAATAGTAAAAATAAAGAAAAACCCTTGAATGAGTAGGTGTTCTAAAACTTTTTACGGGTAGTGTAAACTATACATTAAACTTACTTTACCAAAAATAAATTACTCCCCACACACACAAGGCAAGGACCATAACTCACCGGATTTTACAGATTCAGTTCTCTCAACTTCATTGGCATCTTTGCCAATCCAGACAAACACCTATCATAAAACATTAACATCAATATAGTGCAACCTCCATAGAGGTAAAAATGGGCTGAACATTTTAATTTGGGGATGTGTAACAAGCTCCATACGTGATCCCAGATGTCCAACAGCATCACGTCATCCTCTGCCAGGTCCTCCTGACTGAACTCTCCTGGAACCTCCTCAATCTGCAGAGAGTATTTTAAATCTATTTGTGTGTGTGTGTGTGTGTGTGCGAGCGTGCGTGTGTGTATGTGTGTGTGGTACTCACTATGAACCTGCCAGTCTTGTTTGAGCAGGCGAACAGACGAGGTTGTTGAGTGAGGCTCTTACTCTCCAATCTCTCTGATGTCTGGTACTCCTTCTTCCCCCCTAATGCTGCCCAGAGGTCCGCTACAACCAAACATAACAAATCTGCTTGAGTTTCTGTGCATCTTGAATTGGTGATATACATTTTAGGACTAAAAACCTCAATCTGCCTTGAGACTTTCCTTGTCTCAGTGTGCCCTCTGGTGACTGTCCTGAGTACTACATCACATCATTATTATGGCGCCATATCAAGGTCCATATTCATAAAGCTTCTCAGAGTAGGAGTACTAGATTAGCACTCCTCCCCTGAGACGCTTTCTGAATACGGGCCAGGCCAAGGAATCTGTATGATATTCTCACCTGGTTCCTGTCCCTCTACGATGCGTTGTGTCTGACACATCAGCACCTGACTCAGGTACTGGGCCCCCTGCTCCTCGTCCTCGCTGGCGCCCTTACCCACCCACAGGTAGCTCCCCCCCGCGGGCAGCTTCAGCAGGTAGGCATCATTAGAGTTCAGGCTGCCAGCCTCCGCCTCCACCTGCCACAACACACACACACACAACAGACTAAAAGCTGAGGAAAGGCTGACCTCCATCTAGATGACAGGAAACGACAAATGAGCATCATAAATGCCAATGCAAAAAACTGTAATTTAGCATAATCGGTGCATAAACCCTCTTCAGAAGATAGTGTATAAACTGCATTTATGAGTGTTTACCTTCCATCACTGCCAATGAAACAACCATAGGTGTGTGTCTGTGTGGGAGAACATTCTAACCTCTGCGACGCGTGTGATGGTGCCCAGGTTACGTCGGACCTGGAACAGGCGTGTGGGGGCCGCAGGTGCCTGGCCTCCGATGCGTGAGGTACCACTCTTGTACACGATGAGGGGCTTGGCTTTGAACAGACTCAGGAGATGGGCAGGCTCTTTTCCTTGGGACACTCTCACCTAGGAAACCAAAAGAGATTATTAACGCATATCCAATTTGGTACAGGAGCTCATGGATAGCAAAGCCATCGCTGGAGGGTCAGGTAGAGACCTATGCTATAGACAATCACTAGGTGGCACTATAACACATATACAGTGGGAGATTCTCATTTGGTCAAAAAGACCGTCCTCTCCTCGACTACTCCGTCCTCTCTCCTCTGTGACCCAGAAACCGATAAGTGGTCGAGGGGAGTGTCAATTAGTTAGTAGGTAAACGAAGGAGTCTGCTCCCCTCCTCAATTACCTACTTCGACAGAGGATGCACAAGAGTATCCTTGCAGCGTCTAGCACAGAAGTGTTTTACAATAAGCCACACCCCCTTTGAATCAGCTATTGTTTTCTTGAAGGAGAAAAGCATGCATACATTTCAAAACAATACTCTACTTAATGTTTATCTATAAAATGTCTGTCCCAACTAGCTAAAAAAATTTGGATCACTTTACACATTTATTTTGGGAATCCACCCCTGTAAACATAATTTTAAGAGCCATCTGCATTTTTGTCAAAAAAATTTTATTGACATAGGCTTGTTCTGTTCACTGTTCTCTACCTACTGTATATAGTACTCTAAATACTCCAATTCATGTTGTTAAGTTTAAAATAATACAAGATCAAAATTGCTGACACCATTCAATCCAATGAGGGTTTGGAACTTTAAAACCAATCATCTTTTTGCAGATAGAACCTTATAGACCTAAACTATTGATTTGCCTGATGATGCACGAGTGGAGAAGAAGAGTCTCATTTCATACAAGTGCATTTCCACTTTTCCTCTCAACCCCTCCATGTCGATTACCTTTTGAACTTTTTCAAAAAGAGGAAAGGACAGGGGAGTTAGTAAAACCAATTGAGAATCTCCCAGTGTGTCTCTACAAGCAGCACCCTTGGCTCAATTGGTCATAATTCATTAAATCAGATTAAGAGATGCCAACTTCACATACAGAGAAAAGATTCCGTCATGCCCCATAGGCATGGAAAGTAAACCCTGAAGGGATTTAATACAAAGTAGGCTGGAGAGAATAACCTCCTCTAGTATCACACTTTACAACTGTGATATATTTAAAAAATGATTTATAAACTTTACATCGTTTTTAGACGTTGACACCGAGGCCTGACCCCCTGCTCCAACCTCTTCAACCTCAGTGTGTGTGTGGGTGTCTTTCGGAGGGGTTGGGATAAAGCAGAACATGCATTTCCATTGGACATTCATAGACATTGGACAATAAGAGATCCTCATCTTAATTTGAGTTAGTCTTACCTGAACTGCGTTCCCTCCCAGAGAGCGATCCAGCTCCACAGTTAGGAAGGCTGAAGCTGTGAGCTCATCTAGAGTGCTGCTAGCCCCCTGCCTGCCACAAGAAGTATAGGGATCAATCAATCCAGCTCCCCCCCACCCACCCATCCAACCAACCAATCAACCAACCAACCAATCAACCGATCAACCAATCAATCAACCAATACATCTAATTAAAAATATACAGGTCTACCAGACTCACCAAGTGTAGATGATCTGTCCTCTCTTATATGTATAGAGGATGATGTAACAGTCTCCTCCATAGAATTGGCCATACGTCTTTGGGTCGACTGGGACTCGACCACTGGTCTCCACTCTGAAGATCTGGAACATGAAACTGGCTATTCTACTATCATTTGTTTACAATCCATGTGATTGGGATTGTCAGTAGAATAAAACACCTGACTCATTTTACATTAGCATATTTGATTATTCACTCCTTGTAACGCTTGCGTAATGAGGAACCATGCCTGATACCTGAAGGCCTGTGTTAGCGCCCCGATCTATTGCTTAGACCTTAGCTCAGTGGGCTACCAAAGTCTTGTGGCGGTAACACTTGGTCCTATACCTGAGTGTCCCCTGTGCTGTCGTCCACCATGTTATACTGGGCTGCCATGCTCTGGGACTCATGGAGCTTGGAGGCGTCGAACTCCACCTGATGTATCTTAGCGATCCTCTCAGTCACAAAGACCTTCCCTAACCCCTCGCTCTGGTTCTTATCCCTCCACCCCTGGAAGAACTGCTTGAAGATAGGAGTCTCCCCACCCTCTGGGAGTACCTGGATCTGGCGATAAAGAGGAGTTGTTTCTATGAACGTCAGTCCTGATCAGTTTAGCAGGACATGAACTGACATGATATTTAAGTCACGAGTTGATCCAACCAAATGATCCAAACATAGCAATTATGACTGATGCTAGATGGATGATAATGAGCATGAACCTGTGTGTTAGGTGGGTAGCCCATCTGCTGGATGAAGCCCTCAGCAGTCTTCATGGCAGTCTTCCTCTCGCTTGGGTTGGCGTTACGGCCTTTATGGGTGATGATGGATGATTCATGCAGAAGAAGAGGTACAAAAAAGATGGGAGGTATAGAAGGATGAGGGGATGAATTTAGATTGTTTGTCAAGATAAAGATGTTAAGCAGTTTAAATATCTACCTTTCCAGACGAAGATCATCTTGCTCTTCCCGTGGTCCAGGATGAAACACTCGTCAGACAGCAGATGGCTCTGAGAGAACGGGTTCTCCTCTGAGACCAGGGTCACCTGCATCGCTCCGGACGCATCAGATACCTGGAAGGAACAACAACGAGATGAGTTTGAATGTGTGTATGTGGTGTGTGTGGTGTGTGTATGTGTGTGTGTGGTGTGTGGTGTGTGTGTGTGTGTGTGTGTATGTGGTGTGTGTGTGTGTGTGGTGTGTGTGTGTGTGTGTGTGTGTGTGTGTGTGTGTGTGTGTGTGTGTGTGTGTGTGTGTGTGTGTGTGTGTGTGTGTGTGTGGTGTGTGTGTGTGTGTGTGTGTGTGTGTGTGTGTGTGTGTGTGTGTGTATGTGTGTGTGTATGTGTGTGGTGTGTGTGTGTGTATGTGTATATATGTGTGTAAGAGTGTGACCATACCATGTAGAGTTTGGCCATCTTCCTGTTGGAGATATCTGCCACCATATCATCATTGTCATCACCTTCTGGTAGATCTGGCTTGTTGCCAAGCACCTGATAGGGTTGACAGGTAAAAACACAAATACAAAAACCAGGAAGATAAGTCACAGTGACTTGTGTTAATAGAGATAGAAACATGATGGCACACAAAAGTAGATTATTTAACTGTCATACAGTTTTGCAACTAATTTAAAACACTAGACTAGGGAATGAAAGTTAAATATTGTGTTGAATTAGCCTCTGTCACCTCAGTTAACACAGATGGCTCGCTCCCTTCCTCCACGACAAAGATATAATGGTGTGTCAAGGAAGGAAGCTGGTGTTACAGATCAGTAGTCTTGACTTGCATGGTTCCATAGTTCCACCACAACAGCTGAACAACAATGTTTCTACAGTACTCTACCTTAAACTGACAGTACTTTCAGGTAGTGTGTACTCTGAGACAGCTGAACAGAGTAGTTACTCAAAGGTTAGTGAAAAGGCTTGATTGTTTTCCAGAGTGGCTATAGTCCTGATAGGAAGGGAAAACATCACCGTCCCATGATGTGTGCAACGATGACTGATATAGTTTCCGACCTGAAATGACCTTATCTCAGAATCTGAGAATTGTCCAGGAAGCGTCAGAATATGTCAACCCTTTAACCAGATAATCACTTTTGTTGAATTAGCATCTGTCACCTCAGTTAACTCAGACGGCTCGCTCCCTTCCTCCACGACAACCAGCTTTGCTCGGCCATTCCTCTCATTGTCACGGATACCGGCAGCCACCTGCGCTGCCTTCAGGAGCTCAAACTTGTTGCACTCTGAACCGCACCACTGGTAGATAACCTAGAGACAGGTAACATATATGGTTCAGTTGAAAAGAGGGTTGTTGCACACTTTATGAAGTTCCAGGTGCATAAAGGCTTTAGCTTCGAGGGCTAACTAACAAAATCTTGTGGCAAGCCGACGACCCCGGTTCAAACCCAGTGGGTCACTGTTTTGTGGCAATACATCCTGATTTCTGGCAATATTCAAACAGGAGTGAACAGTATAGCTTTTGGATTTAATTTGGTAAACATTAGAATACCTTGTATATCAAATGAGCTTGATACATACACCCACCTTAAGTCAACATACCGTAGGCCTACATTGTTTTGGACTTAAGACAATAACAGACCTTCATGCCGAACAGACAATATTTGTGTTTCAGCAGAATTTGAAGTTTGTTTACAGAGTCAAGTCTAGACAATGAGTCGGGTTTCTCAGGAAAGTTACAGTCAAACAAATGAACTGTTCTTACAGGGCCACTGTGTGCACTACCATATGTGCCATAAAAGTCTGGACCTCTTGGCAGAGGCAGTGTTACCACCATAGACACTATATCATTGATACATGTTCTATATCTATATGGTAAACTCTCACATAGAGGGAGGCCAAAGTACAATCTACCGATCCATCGATGACTCAATCAGTCAATCAGTAGATCAATCAATGAATCTAAACATACTGCTCCCAGGTCCACGATGAAACAGTCCCCTCTGTTGAAGCTGGACCAGTTGAGGGTGACCTCGGTTGCCCTGACGACGCGGCGACCTTTGATGTGGAATAGTCTCCGAGCTGACAGGTCGTTGGTGACCACGTGATGGAACCCAGAGGCCACGCCTCCGGCCTAGAATAGAACAGGATAGAATAGAATAAAATAGAGTAGAATAGAAAAGAGTCGATTAGGATAGAACAGAATACTTTATTGCCTTCAAGAGGGAATTTGTCTTGCTCAGTTTAAAAGCAATTCAAGACGCAGATGTACATACGTAGTATACATCACATACAAAACAAGGTACACAGTTACGTAGTACCCAACACAAACATCCCTGAAACAACATATAAAAGGCAATGTCAGGGCCTATGAGTACCCTGTGAGGTTGAACAAGGGTAGCGTGTCAAGTAGTAAAATCAAGAAAGGTTCAGGACCAAGAAAACAAACAACGTGTGGAACACATAACTGTTTTCCTTTTCCCTCTACACCAAGTTCCTTTTCCATCCCATGAGTCACTGTTGCTGCCCATGGTCAGGGCCAAACAAAACGTTACAACAAGCGTTTATTTAATAGCACACCTAGCATATGATGCCCAGGGCCTGAAATGTGAAATGTGGCAAATGCAATGAATGTTCACTGCTAAAAATAAGGGTGCTTTCTGGTTCAATATAACACCATATATTCTAGTAGTAAATAGCAGTAAGACAGATAAAGGAACAAATCTAATATTGGTGAAATAAACGGAAATAAAATGCATCAGTAAGACAATACCGTACTTTGTATGTGATGCCTCCCTTGAAGTATCGTGTGAAGGCAGTGGACTCGAACCCCTGCAGTTCTCGGTACTGGACAGGCTTCCCTCCTAGAAAGTCATCCAGCTGAACAGTAAAGATAGCCGCTGCCGTGCTCTCATCCTGGCTGCACTCCTTCCCTGAGGAGAGAGCATGAGTGGTACAGTACTTAAATACAATATGATAAATGTTAGTATGAAATGAGAGAGTATTCAAGTTTAGACAGAGAAACTTTAGCACAACTTTAGCACAGACTGCCTGGTTGATGTTATCACTCTGATGCTCATAGTATGCTTTATTGTAAAACTGTGTGGCGTGTGTCTTTTTTGTTCACATCTTTTTTGTCACCCTTGTAGACATATCTTGGCAACAATAATCTCACTGGTGTTGCAGTCAACAAATGTTCGCTCTGAAACAGAATCTACCAGCCTTGCATGTTGCCATTGTAAATGTATGGGTGGCTGCACACCACTACAGAGGTTTAACAACAGGAGCTGGAACCCTGTTAGTGATACCTTGTAGGCCTGATGAGGTAAGTAAACAGTCCAAGTCATACCTGCTATTTTGGTGTGACTAACCTACAGTAGTTAAACATTAGTCTACAGCATGAGGCCATTCTAATTTAATGGGTGACTGAATGAAGGAACTGAGGAAGAAATGTAAGCCCATAGCAGCAAGCAAAATGGGAAGGAAACCCATTGGAGGTCCATTAGTGTCTTTACTGGTTAATGATTCATGATGATGATGAGGGAATGAGGGAGGAGAGGAAGGACAACATAACATCTTAGTGGTGCTATTGATGTTTGTATTCAGATGGGAGTTGGTGAGTGCGGAGAGAGAGAGGAGGAGGAGAGAGAGAGAGAGAGAGAGATAGAGAGAGTGAGAGAATGATCTAATTATGTGTCAAGGAAGGAAGCTGGTGTTACAGACTTGTATGGTTCCATAGTTCCACCACAACAGCTGAACAACAATGTTTCTACAGTACTCTACCTTAAACTTACAGTATTTTCAGGTAGTGTGTACTCTGAGACAGCTGAACAGAGTAGTTACTCAAAGGTTAATGAAAAGGCTTGATCGTTTTCCAGAGTGGCTATAGTCCTGATAGGAAGGGAAAACATAATTGTCCCATGATGTGTGCAATGATGACTGATATAGTGTACAACCTCTGCCTGGAATGACCTTATCTCAGAATCTTAAAATCTGAGAATTATCCAGGAAGCGTGAGGATATGTCAACTCGCCCGACCTTTAACCAGATAATACTTTTGTTTCCTACTTCAGGCAAAAAAATTGTTTTCAGCTCAGCTGATGACAAGATTGGCTGACTTGCTTCTACTTTACTTCTGTCTACAGTAACAGACAACAGCACCTCGAGACCTCACACAGTTGTGAAATGACAGTGACACTACTATGGGGGACAACAACACATATAATACATACACTGAGTATACAAAACATTAAGAACTGCTCTTCCCATAACATAGACTGACCAGGTGAATCCAGCTGAAAGCTATGATCCCTTATTGAGGTCACATGTTAAATCCACTTCAATCAGTGTAGATGAAGGGGAGGAGACAGGTTAAAGAAGGATTTTTAAGCCTTGAGACAATTGAGACATGGATTGTGTATGTGTGCCATTCAGAGGGTGAATGGGCAAGACAAAACATTTATCTGAATATTAACTGAAACACAAGCAAAACCATCTCTCTTGTTCAGTCTTGTATGTACAATCTGTTCTTCTCCTATATTAATACATCTACACAGATATGATCCTATGAAGTTAATGTGTTATAACACTGTTAGTACATTATGCCTTTTGATGCTAAGTTGTTTTATTTCTTGCCAATGTATTTATTAATGTTAATGAAAATATTATGAGAATATTATGCCATTGATTTCAGCCTGTAGCTATAAAACTTTAACATCTATGAAGCACTCCCTAAATGTGTTCACATAAATCTCCAATGTTTGATAACCCTCCGTCAGTAAACAAATCATCCAGCATGTGACATCCTGCTGGAACAGCCTGAGGAAACATGCACGAAAGCACACATGAATGCGCGTACGCGCACACACTCACGCACAAACACATACGCACACACACACACATACACACACACTGTCACGACTTCTGCCGCGGCTGCCTCCCCTCCTTGTTCGGGCAGGTTTCGGCGTTCGTCGTCACCGGCTTACTAGCTACTGCCGCTCCCATTCTCATCACTCCACTTGTCTTGTCTTGTCAATCACACACACCTGGTGCTCATCCCCTAATTAGTCTGTGTGTTCCCTCTGCCCCCTTGTCTTTGTGAGTGATTGTTCTATGTGGGAGGAGAGTAGCTCGGTTGAGATACCCCCATACTCCCAGCCTCCTGCATCGTGGCGCCGGTAGTATGGGCGATGGACGCGGATATAGAGCGGGCATTTCGCACAGATCCATCTCCATCTCAGTGTCCAGCTGGGCTGCGGTCCGTGCCTGCTCTTATCCGCGATCGTTTGATCCACTGGGCACACACGTCACCCTCCTCTGGTCACCCAGGTATCGGTCGTACAGTGCGCTGCCTGACTGATAAATACTGGTGGCCTACCTTGGCTAAGGACGTGAGGTTGTACATCTCCTCCTGCTTGGTGTGCACCCAGAGTAAGGCACCAAGTTGCAACCATTACCAGTTCCACAACGACCATGGTCTCATCTAAGTATTGATTTTCTTACTGATCTTCCCCTGTCCCAAGGTAACACCACCATCCTGGTCATTGTGGACCGCTTTTCGAAGTCCTGCCGCCTCCTTCCTCTGCCCGGTCTCCCCACAGCCCTAAAAACTGTGGAGGATGAGGCCCTGTTTACTCACGTATTCTGGCACTACGGGGTACCAGAGGATATAGTGTCCGACCGAGGTTCCCAGTTCATGTCTAGGGTCTGGAAGGCGTTCATGGATCGCCTGGGGGTCTCGGTCGGCCTGACCTCTGGATTCCACTCCGAGAGTAATGGGCAGGTGGAAAAGGTTAATCAAGATGTGGGTAGGTTCCTGCGGACCTACTGCCAGGACCGGCCGGGGGAGTGGTCAGTGTTCTTGCCATGGGCAGAATATGACCAGAACTTTCTCCGCCACTCCTACACTAACCTAACGCCCTTCGAATGTGTTTTAGGTTACCAACCGGTTCTGGCACCGTGGCACCAGAGCCAGACCGAGGCTCCTGTGGTGGATGACTGGTTTCGGCGCGCGGAGGAGACTTGGGACGCTGCCCACGTTCACCTCCAGCGTGCCGTGCGTCGTCAGAAGGCCAACGCTGACCACCACTGCAGGGAGGCCCCGGTCTTCGTACCGGGGGTTCGGGTCTGGCTCTCAACCCGGAATCTGCCACTCCGCCTGCCCTGCCAGAAGCTGAGCCCGCGGTTTGTGGGGCCGTTTAAAGCCCTGAGGGGGATAAACGAGGTCACATACAGGTTATTACTTCCCCCTGATTACCGTATTAACCCCTCGTTTCATGTGTCTCTCCTCAGGCCGGTGGTGGTTGGTCCGCTCCAGGAGTCTGAGGTGCGGGAGGTCCCTCCACCTCCTCTGGACATCGAGGGGGCCCCGGTGTACTAGGTCTGTTCCGTCCTGGATTCGAGGCGTCGGGTGGGGGGCCTTCAGTACCTCGTGGAGTGGGAGGGGTACGGTCCGGAGGAACGGTGCTGGGTCCCGGAGAGGGACATCCTCGATCCCTCCCTGTTGCAGGATTTTCACCATCGCCATCCGGCTTGCCCTGCTTTGTGTCCTCCTGGCCGTCCCCGAGGCCGGGGTCGGCGCGCTGCTGGAGCTGCGCGTCAAAGAGGGGGGGGTTGGGGGGTACTGTCACGACTTCCGCCGAGGCTGCCTCCCCTCCTTGTTCGGGCAGGTTTTGGCGTTCGTCGTCACCGGCTTACTAGCTACTGCCGCTCCCATTCTCATCAGTCAGCTTGTCTTGTCTTGTCAATCACACACACCTGGTGCTCATCCCCTAATTAGTCTGTGTATAAGTGTTCCCTCTGCCCCCTTGTCTTTGTGAGTGATTGTTCTATGTGGGAGGAGAGTAGCTCGGTTGAGATACTCTCTCATTTATTTTGCCAGGGTTGATTTTCCCCTGTGTCATTACATTTATTGTATTTTCTGAGACTGTGTTTGGTCAGGGAGAATTGTTTCCCCTGTACCTGTTTCGATTGCCGTTGTAGGCGCATTGTATGCCTGGAAGGAATAAATCTGCATCCGGTTATTTTACTCCTGCGCCTGACTCTGTCCATCATTCACCACACACACACTCCAACTCACCCAGCCAGTAGTGCAGGTCGTAGAAACAGCTATCCCGCTGTTTGACAGTGTGGAGGACCACGTACGCGTCCCCAACATAGAAGTTCCCGTGCAGGTTCTCAGGCACAGGGCACAGCTCAATCTTCTCTATCCTCCATATCTGGAGACCGGCTACCCTGCCTGCCTTGTCAAACTCCCTGTGGTAGAGCACCATGGTTCCTCTGATTATCTGGTAGCAGAAGGGGGACGGCTGGATGTGGATCCCAGGTGTGGTGAGAGGAGCGTGGGGTGAGAGAGAAGCACAGACTGCTGCTCTGTTCTCTATCTGGTCCTGGGGAGGAGTGAGTCAATAGCAGCAGTGTGCAGGGCTCTAAGTTGGAGGCTGAGAGGGGGTGGGTGTGTCTTAGATGCTGACAAAGTACACACACACACAGTCTGTATGTGGTTTTTACACTTGTTTTCACTACACATGCAAATTACTGTCTCTATTTATACTCAATATTTCCAGTAAAGGCGCTGCTCTAATAACTTTATTACATCATAATATTAGGCTTGAAATAACTTGCATTCAGATCAGGTCGATAGAGATGTTTATCTTGTAGTTTCAACAGAGCTCAGCAGTGTGTGGTTATTTGTCTTTGCACTTATAAATATAGAGAACCAGAAAAAAAAATCCCCGCAATTGCATCAATTCAGAATTAATCTCTGCTTTGGTTTACAACTATTTGAACAAGAACCTAAATATTAACCAGACATTACAGAATGGTTCCCTTTCAAGTTTCTTATTTCTTGTTTAATATTAGACTGGTCTCTAAAGGTTATGGCTTAGGGGAGGGCCCTAGTTCAAGGTCAAAAGTATGTGGACTCCCTTCAAATTAGTGGATTCGGCTATTTCAGCCACACCCGTTGCTAACAGGTGTATAAAATCGAGCACACAGCCATGCAATCTCCATAGACAAACATTGGCAGTAGAATGGCCTTACTGAAGAGCTCATTGACTTTCAACGTGGCACCGTCATAGGATGCCACCTTTCCAACAAGTCAGTTCGTCAAATTTCGGCCCTGCTAGAGCTGCCCCGGTCAACTGTAAGTGCTGTTATTGTGAAGTGGAAACGTCTAGGAGCAACAATGGCTCAGCTGTGAAGTTGTAGGCCACACAAGCTCAGAAAACGGGAACAGTCTTTGCGATTGTAATCTAAACTTGTAGATTTACCAGCCATACCTGCTCCATTCCAACACATTTCACAGCTTGTGGCCAATTATTGAAATACTATGACAGTGTGTATTACAATTACTCACTACTATCTATTACCTAAGGGTTATATTACAAGACCGATCTGTTAATGTTGTGTAACTAATCTGTTTTGAGTATTGTAGAGTTTTTTTCCCCTAAAAGTCATTTTCTTTTAAAGTCGGTGAAGCCTGTGACCAGTTTCCCCTTAGTGTCAGTTAATGTGAGCGATAGAAGAGGAGGAACCAGACAAGAGATGGATGCTTTAAAATGGATGCTGACGAAACCAGGATAAAAAATACCATGATTTGGGGTATTTTCACGACATTTAATAAATACACTATATTTACAAAAGTATGTGGACTCCCTTCAAATTAGTGGATTCGGCTATTTCAGCCACACCCGTTGCTAACAGGTGTATAAAATCGAGCACACAGCCATGCAATCTCCATAGACAAACATTGGCAGTAGAATGGCCTTACTGAAGAGCTCATTGACTTTCAACGTGGCACCGTCATAGGATGCCACCTTTCCAACAAGTCAGTTCGTCAAATTTCGGCCCTGCTACATTTACGTCATTTAGCAGACGCTCTTATCCAGAGCGACTTAGAGTTAGCACATACATTACTTTATCGAACCCACAACCCTGGCGTTGCAAACACCATGCTCTACCAACTGAGCTACATCCCCTGCCGGCCATTCCCTCCCCTACCCTGGACCAATTGTGCGCCGCCCCATGGGTCTCCCGGTCGCGGTCGGCTACGACAGAGCCTGGATTCGAACCAGGATCTCTAGTGGCACAGCTAGCACTGCGATGCAGTGCCTTAGACCACTGCGCCACTCGGGAGACTACTAGAGCTGCCCCGGTCAACTGTAAGTGCTGTTATTGTGAAGTGGAAACGTCTAGGAGCAACAATGGCTCAGCTGTGAAGTTGTAGGCCACACAAGCTCAGAAAACGGGAACGCTGAAGCGCATAGCGCGTAAAAATCATCTGTTCTCGGTTGCAACACTCACTACCGAGTTCCAAACTGCCTCTGGAAGCAACATCAGCACAAGAACTGTTCGTTGGGAGCTTCATGAAATGGGTTTCCATGGCCGAGCAGCCGCAGACAAACCTAAGATCACCATGGGCAACGCCAAGCGTCGGCTGGAGTGGTGTAAAGCTTGCCACCATTGGACTCTGGAGCAGTAGACATGCTTCACCATCTGGCAGTCCGACGGACAAATCTGGGTTTGGCAGATGCCAGGAGACCGCTACCTGCCCGAATGCATAGTGCCAACTGTAAAGTTTGGTGGAGGAGGAATAATGGTCTGGGGCTGTTTTTCATGGTTCGGGCTAGGCCCCTGAAGGGAAATCTAAATGCTACAGTATACATTGACATTCTAGATGATTCTGTGCTTCAACTTTGTGGCAACAGTTTGGGGAATGCCTTTTTCTGTTTCAGCATGACAATTCCCCCGTGCACAAAGCGAGGTTCATACAGAAATGATTTGTTGAGATCGGTGTGGAAGAACTTGAATGGCCTGCACAGAGCCCTGACCTCAACCCCATCGAACACCTTTGGGATTAATTGGAACGCAGACTGCGAGCCAGGCCTCATCGCCTAACATCAGTGCCCGACCTCACTAATGCTCTTGTGGCTGAATGGAAGTAAGTCCCCACAGCAATGTTCCAACATCTAGTGGAAAGCCTTCCCAGAAGAGTGGAGGCTGTTTTAGCAGCAAAGCGGAGACCAACTCCATATTAATGCCCATGATTTTGGAATGAGATGTTCGACAAGCAGGTGTCCACATACTTTTGGTAATGTGTAGAATGGTCCTTTAGAGGAATGATTGTTGACATATAGTTGACATTCATATCTAAAAGCATAATTGGGAAATAATTTTGGCCTTACCCAGGCCTCCTTTAAGTCTCCATAATATTTCATATATAGGCGCTAAAAAGTTAAAATTGGTCATATGAAGCTTTACCGATTGCTCTGTAATATGAGTAGCATTTTTGTTTCAATAACAATTTTGATACATTATTTTATTAATATTAAAAAAAATTAACATTAATATTTAAAAAAAGAAAAAACTATTGATATATTGTTGAACACAATATTCTGCACGGGCATATCAAAGATGGACAGGGATAATATACTACAGTTGAAGTCCGTTTTTCAACCACTCCACAAATTTCTTGTTAACAAACTATAGTTTTGGCAAGTCGGTTAGGACATCTACTTTGTGCATGACACAAGTCATTTTGCCAACAATTGTTTACAGACAGATTATTTCACTTATAATTCACTGTATCACAATTCCAGTGGGTCAGAAGTTTACATACACTAAGTTGACTGTGTCTTTAAACAGCTTAGAAAATTCCAGAAAATCATGTCCTGACTTTAGAAGCTTCTGATTGACATCATTTGAGTCAATTGGAGGTGTACCTGTGGATGTATTTCAAGGCCTTCCTTCAAACTCAGTGCCTCTTTGCTTGACATCATCGGAAAATCAAAAGAAATCAGCCAAGACCTCAGAAAAAAAATGTAGACCTCCACAAGTCTGGTTCATCCATGGGAGCAATTTCCAAACGCCTGAAGGTACCACGTTCATCTGTACAAACAATAGTACGCAAGTATCAACACCATGGGATCACGCAGCCGTCATACCGCTCAGGAAGGCGACGCGTTCTGTCTCCTAGAGATTAACGTACTTTGGTGCGAAAAGTGCAAATCAATCCCAGAACAACAGCAAAGGACCTTGTGAAGATGCTGGAGGAAACAGGTACAAAAGTATCTATATCCACAGTAAAACGAGTCCTATATCGACATAACCTGAAAGGCTGCTCAGCAAGGAAGAAGCCACTGCTTCAAAACCACCATAAAAAATCCAGACTATGGTTTGCAACTGCACATGGGGACAAAGATCGTACTTTTTGGAGAAATGTCCTCTGGTCTGATGAAACAAAAATAGAACTGTTTGCCCATAATGACCATTGTTATGTTTGGAGGAAAAGGGGGGTTGCTTGCAAGCCGAAGAGCACCATCCCAACCGTGAAGCACGGGGGGTGGCAGCATCATGCTATAGGGGTGCTTTGCTGCAGGAGGGACTGGTGCACTTCACAAAATAGATGGCATCATGAGGAAGGAAAATTATGTGGATATATTGAAGCAACATCTCAAGACATCAGTCAGGAAGTTAAAGCTTGGTCGCAAATGGGTCTTCCAAATGGACAATGACCCCAATCATACTTCCAAAGTTGTGGCAAAATGGCTTAAGGACAACAAAGTCAAGGTATTGGAGTGGCCATCACAAAGCCCTGACCTCAATCCTATAGAAAATGTGTGGGCAGAACTGAAAAAGTGTGCGCGAGCAAGCAGGCCTACAAACCTGACTTAGTTACACCAGCTCTTTCAGGAGGAATGGGCCAAAATTCACCCAACTTATTGTGGGAAGCTTGTGGAAGGCTACCCGAAACGTTTGACCCAAGTTAAACAATTTAAAGGCAATGCTACCAAATACTAATTGAGTGTATGTAAACTTCTGACCCACTGGGAATGTGATGAAAGAAAAAAATGCTGAAATAAATCATTCTCTGTACTATTATTCTGACATTTCACATTCTTAAAATAAAGTGGTGATCCTAACTGACCTAAAACAGGGACATTTTACTAGGATTAAATGTCAGGAATTGTGAAAAACAGAGTTTAAATGTATTTGGCTAAGGTGTATGTAAACTTCCGACTTCAACTGTATGTTCTTTACAATAGTCAGGTAGGCTACAATATTTATGGCAAGGTAGACCATTTAGTGGAAGTTTACAAGAAGTGGTACTTTGACATTTAGTGCAGTAAAAGTGTGTGTTAGAGTCAAACACAGGCTGTGACCTTTCCACCAGTTATTGATTGCGTGCAGTTAAGCAAACAAGTTCTCAGTCATGTGTCATCTATTACAAGGATATTAGATGGCTCATAATTAAATCAATTGTTTCCTGGAACTACTTATTGGCACTGTTTCAAAGTTAAAGGGTAGAGAGGAACATTGCCAGGTATCTGATGGTCTGCATCTACATCTGCTGGGAATTGGATCTTTGAGAGGTTTAATTCATTATTTTGTAAAGAACATCTATGACATCATAAATACCAGCTAAATTCCAAACATCACCATACTGAATCTTACCCATTGAATAGGCACAACACTCAGTGCTCGACTTGGGCAGGAGATCACCGGAGCAGAGTTCCTGTACCTCACATTTTCTACTGCTTGAGCCCCTGTTCCTCTTCTGGAATATTAGTTTGAAAGTGTTGTGGAGCTCCTGCACCTAAATATAAACAGTACCAGCAACCAAAATGAGTACCTGCACCTATTTCAGTCCAAGTCAAGCACTGATAACACAACCATAACTAGCTATGATGTAGTAATGGCTGTATGATGTAATAAGGCACTACATCGCAGTGCTAGCTGTGCCACTAGAGATCCTGTTTCGAGTCCAGGCTCTGTCGCAGCCGGCCGCGACCGGGAGACCCATGGGCGGCGTACAATTGGTCCAGCGTTGTCCAAGGTAGGGGAGGGTTTGGCCGGCAGGGATGTGCGTTCGTTTCCCACGGGGGGCCAGTATGAAAAAAACTAAACAAAAAAACAAACATGTATGCATTCACTGTAAGTCGCTCTTGATAAGAGCGTCTGCTAAATGACTAAAATGTAAATGTAAATGTAATGTAATAGCCTACTGTATCAATGTATTAACTGACTCCCTTGGCAAACTGTCATAATAGAAGCACAGATCATCTTTCAATCTGTCTGCCTCTACACAGCAGTATAATACATTTCATTAATAACTCCTGAGTGGCGCAGTGGTCTAAGGCACTGCATCGCAGTGCTAACTGTGCCACTAGATCCTGGTTCGAATCCAGGCTCTGTCGCAGCCGGCTGCAACCGGGAGACTCATGGGCGGCGCACAATTCGTCCAGGGTAGGGGAGGGAATGGCCGGCAGGGATGTAGCTCAGTGGCGTTTGCAACGCCAGGGTTGTGGGTTCGATTCCCACGGGGGGCCAGTATAAAAAAAAAAATATATTCACTAACTGTAAATCGCTCTGGATAAGAGCGTCTGCTAAATGACGTAATTAAGGACATTTAGGCTTTCTTCTGGGTCAGCATGTTTCACAAGATGAATCATGTGTTTGATTGGGTCAGATATTATGTCTTCATATTGGGTCTCCATGTGAACAAAAGTCTTGCCCTGTCCTGCTGTGTCCTTTGGGGCGCTCAGCCTTAAGAGGACAAGGCCTACACACACAGCCCTTAAAATCAGACTACTATTTTGAACGACAGCCACAGTTCCAACAGTAGAAAACGAGTGCGGAGAAAAATCTAGCATTTTGTCTTTCTCCCTCATCTTGATATGTCATCATCCTGTTTGTCATTTTTGCTGCCTGATATCAATCAATAACGTAAATCCACCAACTACATTTCATTTCCCTGAGACATGGAGATATCAAAATGTCTTGTAAATGAACTAGCCAACAGTGTGACGGTATGTACAGTAGCTAATCTATAATGACGGTATTCTATTCTATTCCCTACAACATATTCTATAAAGTGTAAACAAATGTACACTACCGTTCAAAAGTTTGGGGTCACTTAGAAATGTCCTTGTTTTCGAAAGAAAAGCCATTTTTTTGTCCATTAAAATAACATCAAATTGATCAGATATACAGTGTAGACATTGTTAATGTTGTAAATGGCTATTGTAGCTGGAAACAGCTGATTTTTTATGGAATATCTACATAGGCGTACAGAGGCCCATTATCAGCAACCATCAGTCCTGTGTTCCAATGGCACGTTGTGTTTGCTAATCAAGTTTATCATTTTAAAAGGCTAATTGATCATTACAAAACCCTTTTGCAATTATGTTAGTACAGCTGAAAACTGTTGTGCTGATGAAAGAAGCAATAAAACTGGCCTTCTTGAGACTAGTTGAGTATCTGGAGCATCAGCAATTGTGGGTTCGATTACAGGCTCAAAATGGCCAGAAACAAATAACTTTCTTCTGAAACTCGTCAGTCTATTCTTGTTCTGAGAAATGAAGGCTATTCCATGTGAGAACTTGCCAAGAAACTGAAGATCTCGTACAACATTAACAATGTCTACACTGTATTTCTGATCAATTTGATGTTCTTTTAATGGACAAGAAAATTGCTTTTCTGTCAAAAACAAGTACATTTCTAAGTGACCCCAAACTTTTGAACGGTAGTGTACATTAGATTAGAATTAACAACAGTAGAGCATTGCCTTTATTCCAAATGTTTATTGGTGAAAAATCCCAATACAATTTCCTGAGGTTATTGTTCTGTAGTCACAGTCACTGTGTTTCAGTCAGTGAACATGTCCAGGTAGTGCTCCAGTGTGAAGTCCTCCCTGTCAGCCAGTGGGTTGCGGTCCAGGCCATATAATGTGACCCTGGTTGTCTGCTGCCTCAGTCTCTGGGCCTCACTCTTCATCGGCTCTCTCTCTACACTCAGTACTAAAGGCTGAAGCTCTGGCTCTGGGGAGGAGGCAGGCTCAGGGGAAATATAGTCCCAAAAATGGCTAACCACATTGTCAGGTAAGGCAACGTATTGGTCTTCCAAATGGTTGCCTGTATTGGTGCAGTCACCTGGCTGCAGGGGTTCTGTAGTTATAGCTAAAGGGTTCCTAAAATGGCTGTAGGTATTGCTGTAGTCGGAATCACCTGGCTGCTGAGGTTCTGGAGAGGCAGGATACTGGTCCTCAAAATGGCCAACTGTATTGGTGTAGCTGGTGACCCAGTCGCAGTGGGTAGGTGGTGTGAGTAGGTATGGAGTCTCTCTATAGACTGGGCCGATGTTAGGTTGCAGAGGGAGGGAGAAGAGTACGGGTAAGGGAGGAAGCTGCGGGTGGGGGAACATGTTCATGAGAGTGGCATATTGTGAAAGGGTCATGTTGCTCAAAGTGTCCTCGGAGAGGTCTGGGTATCTTGGAACCCCTGAGAGCTCTTCCAACACTTCTGCAAGGAGGTCTTCCTCGTCATTGCCCTCTGCTGGTAGGTAGAATAACTGCTCCAGTTCAGGTCCAATGGCCTGCGTCTCTAGCAGAGATGAGGATATGTCAGATTGCTGAAAGTCTCCAGTGTCTCGGTTTAGTCGGTTAACCCGGTTTCGGCTCCTACTTTTCACTGTTGCTTTTTTTCCTTTACTCACTGCTGTCTTTCTCCCCATTTGATTCACATGTTGGTCAGACTCACTGTCAGTATCTGTTAGTCCCTTAGTACCTGTATCATCCACCACCTCCACCCCATCTTTCCTCAGCAGTGACATTATCTTCTTGTACTTCTCTGTAGTGCTGTGTTCTTGGCTGGTCCAATCAAAGCTGCCATCTGGGTTCCTCTGTTTAGGTGCAGCATGCTTCTTCTTCTGTTTCTTTCTCTTCTTCTTGTGTGGCTCAGAAGACTCCGAACTCTGGCTCGAGTCTAAAACGTCCTGATGCTGGCTTGTCTCTGGTGTTTCAACAGGGCCCATGGGAATAGTCTCCCCTTGTATCTCTGAAGTGGTCAAGGCCAGCTGGTGAGGTGGGGGACCCTGGTACACAGGAAGACTGTGCCAGGAGGCCAATGGTGCTGCGTGGTACACCTGGTATACCCCACCTGCACGGTAAGGGGCAGGGGCAGCATTGTTCACAAGTAATGTCACTGCTGATCCTGCATACACAAAATGCAAAAATAAACTACAATATGTGTAATATACAATACTATTCGCAGAGACATTATTTTCATATTTGCTGTCAAAGCGAAGGACCCAACTTGACACACACACCACAGGCTGGGAGCAGCACAGGGTCAGCTGGCGGTAAGTGCTTTGCCCAAGGGCACAAAAGCACTGGGTATAGAACATAGAAAATTTAAGCCAGCTACTCTCTGGCTGCAAATTCCTCCAGATTTCCCTGTCCGCCCTGGGATTCAAACTCTGGTTACTAGCCTGGTCCAGGATCTATTGGTGCTCTTGCTCCATTGCTGTCGTTGTCAAGCCAAACAACATTGAGGCCACAGCCATGTTATGGCTCATCTGACAGTGTACAAGTCATTTAGGATACAACACGTTTGCATCAACAACATGTCATCAGTAATATCAACTTACCATGTTCTAGCTGAAAGGCAAAAGGAAGATCACCTTCCAAATCAGGCTGAAAGTGCATGGTTACCAATGTACCTTCAGCCACCTAGTGAAATTAAAAAATGTGCCAAATGCCGCCGAAACAGGCTATATATGCAGACAGGTGTTTATGACGTCACATATGGTGTTTATGATGTAAAAACTGTCCCCACTGGCTGTCAACTGTCCCCATGGCAACATTGCGTGAGATCAGCTTTGCTCAGGAGACAACAGTTTTGCAAACATGCATAGAATCAAAATTACCAGTATAATTCCAATTCTATGGGTTCATAAGCGCATTGTGAGTGAATTGTGATGTCACACTGATTCATGTGTTAATTTGCATGTGAGTGTTCCATTTCTTACCAGTTCCTCTGAGGTTGATTAAATAAGAGGCATGAACAAAGACAAGAAAATACAAGATAGACAAATGAGATGTCGAGAACTTTATTCACGCTTTCAGAAAGAAAGGGTAACAGCACAACAAAACTAGGTAGGACAAATCTTGATCCAACCACTTAGAATTTATCATGATGAAAAGCAAATAATTAAAACAAAACACACACCAACTACATGTACACTTAAAAATTGACAAAAAAATCTAGTCAAACACAGTTGTTGATCAAAATAATTTCAGTACCCAACAGCAGTAGACATTCGGAAAGAACAACCTCATCAGCTCATCAAACAACTCTTCTAGTTTGTGTCAGTAGTATTGCAAGACTTCACTCATTCCTAACATTCAATCAAAAGCTGACCCCTCTTCCATACAAGATTAAGGTGCTTGATTAGGAACAAATGACTGTACATATGTTAATAGTTGTGCTCTACGATAATCTAGGAAACTGCTAATTAAATAACTGCAAACTACACGGTTTGAGTATTCATTAAGAAATTCAAGAGATAGATATATATATATATATATATATATATAGATAGATATATATATATATATATATATATATATATATCTATATCTATCTATGAGGGTAGTTTCTATTCATTTGAGTTGTATGTTTCAAAAGGTTTTCCACAATGTAGGTAGGAATCATATTACAAACGTGGTATTAAAAACAGGTTTTCATTAAATCTAGGTAGTTCTACAAACTCTTCAACTGAGTTTGATATGCAGGGAAGTCATTTATCAAAAACGTACAAAGTCCCTTGCAGGTTATCCTCTTTATGCGTGTCATGAAAATTTGAAGATGGATCCGATGGAATGTAAAAAATAAGTTGGTCAAAATCAAAATCAGCAGTAGGTAGGTATCACAAAACATGATAAAAAAAAAAAAAATCAAATTCAAATTCATGTCAACTGATCACACATTAACACTGGAGATGGATCACCCAACAGAGGGTAATATTAGTAAACTGGTACAAATCCACAATTGTACAGAGCCCTCTAGAGGAGAGCCCGGTCATTACAAGCTTATACACATCAGAACTGCCACATTCTGGCTTCACCCCAAATGCCACCCTATTCCCTACACCAGGGGTTTTCAACTCTTACCCTATGAGGTCCGGAGCCTGCTGATTTTCTGTTCTACCTGATAATTAAATTGCACACACCTGGTGTCCCAGGTCTAAATCAGTCCCTGATTAGACGGGAACGATGAAAAGACGCAGTGGCACTGGCTTCCAGGTCCAGAGTTTAGCTTGAGGGCCCTAAATAGTGCACTACCTTTGGCCAGAGTCCTAGTAGTGTGTTCTATAGAGAATGGTGTCATTTCAGACTCAGCTCACTGTGCCTCCAAGTTGTGACTTATCAGCAGAATGAAATAATAGACTAGATTAATCTGTCATAATAATACACATTATTAATGTGTTACGTGAGGTTTGACTTTGAGAATAGTATACTGGTCCCAGATCTGTTGGTTCAACTCCTTCGACTATCATACAGATACAGATTTGAGACCAGATTACTGAGAGAACTCTTCCGGAGGTTATCCTCATCCATAGAATGAGGATTATTACTTCATATACATTTACAGTTCAAGTGGTTTAGAAGAGTGTGGAGTGGCATTGTAACATTTTACATTAACACAATGGAGGTTGAATTTGAAAAGCATTAATAAAGTGCATAATGGATAGGTACTGAAATATTATGGTACTTAGTGTTTTTTAGACATTAAAATCATTATTTTCGTCAGTAGACACATTTTTCCCTCCACTGCACATCTGGCATATACTCCCAACACATTGGTGAGCTAACACAAAAATGCATGACATCTACAGTGGGGTGTTCATCAGTAGATGAGTGGTGGAGGAAGAGGAGGGAGAAACACAGTGAACCATCTATGGCTGGGGTGGCCAACCCTCCTCTGGAGAACTACTGGGTGCAAACGCTTATCCCTGCTCGAACATTCCTTATTCAACAGACCAGCTGTGTTGGAGAAGGGCTGGAGAAAAAGCTTAAACAATCAGTAGCTCTCCAGGTTTGCCAGATCCCCGATTTAAGACTAGCTTCCAAGGACCCTCTCCAGGAACGGGCTCAGGTCAGGTAGGGCAAGGGGGCATCAGGGGGGGTTACTCTGGGGGAATTGGGGCATTAGACACCTTGGGCTGTGCCCCCCTCACAGTGGTGGTGTTACCTCCACAGTCTACATACTGGTACATCTCCTGAGTGACCTGCTCCATGTGGCCAAAGTACATCGTCGTCACCGTCACCCTGGAAACAACAAGATGATTTAATTGAATTCAATAACTTTTTTGTACCCTTTAGGACAGGCATGAGATCAGATCAAGTCAATATAGAAAAATACAAAGAGGATATTGGTTGGATTTGGGATTAGGTCAATTTCCATTCTGTATGAATAGAGGACGGTATCAGAAAATATCCTTATTAATAAGGGGAGGTCATTAACCACACAGAACAAGGTTGACTAACTGTTCTGAGTGCATTAATACGCATTACATGGGAGAATGGAAGCCAGGCTTCGGTGGTTCTGTGTGAATGATTAAAGGGAGGTGTGCAGAGAGTACTTACTGCATCATGACAACGATGTTATGCACCTTTATGGTCTGCAGGCTGCAGTAATCACTAGGACATAGAGGAACAGACACTTCAGTCAGACAATGTGTCCACCAGCCGGCTCTTACTCTGTCGAACCGTCTGGTTTCACTGTGTTTCAGAAAGGGACTTGAATGGAGCCTATGGCTGGAGTGGGAAAAGGTCCCGCTGGATTTTCATTGGCTGATCTCAGTCCATCACCATCTAGCGTAACTCTTGAACCTCCCCTCTACATTGTGGATTTCAAAGCGGGAGCAGCGCAAGTGATAAGCTAAACAATGAACGAAGGGAGTTCGGGAAATTGGAAAGTATGCACCGAAGAATTCGTTTTCACATATAAACGTTATATGCCCATTTATATTTATTGCCGATTTTCTGCATTTTCAAAGTCCCATCTAATCCAGCTGTGGCAGGCTGTCCCTCTCCCACCTCTATTTTAACGTGCCCCTTTCAAGTCTGCCTTTGTTCCACACTGTTTGCAGGCTCTACATGAGCCTGGGGACGAGGTTAAGCACACTCAATCTGTACTCCCATATGATTTATTGAAACAAAGTCTTGAGCATTAGGTCTTTATCAGGTTCAGTGTTCTCATAAAGCTATGTGCTGTGCTGGGGTGTGCTGTGTTGTACTTACTACATGTAGCTCATCTCATCTGCTATAATGGTGGGAACCATGTAGTCAACCTGGGAACAACACACAGGGTTATGATCAAAAAGGTGACTAGGGGAAAGAGTGCTTGAAGTGCCAAAATACATAATGTGACAAGTTGAGCGAAGTAGGACCAGGAATAGGGGTCTGAGTCTACTGAACAAAACAGCTATGGCTTGATGGGTCTTGAATTTAGTGAAACTGGAGTTTCTGCTGCATGTCCAATAATGATGACAGAGTTGTAACCACGCTATTCCAGCGTTGTTAACATGCGGTTACCATGTTATTACAGAGTTGTGTACCTGCTCCATGCCCAGAGGACTGATAGCAGTGATGTAATTGATACGGGACTTCCCGATCACCGTCTTGGAGAACTGGACCTGGGCTGAGATGTTGGACACCTCTACACTGTAGTAGTTGTTATTGGTGATGTTCAGAGTGTTCTGGAAGGAAGAATAATATTTTACTGTCATTTTATGATCACAGAAATTAGTATTTGGGGCTTTTAACCTTACCCTCAGAGAAACACACAAACCCTGAGCAGTTTGAAGCCAGAGTTAGCCAGTGCGGCAACCCTGAAGCAGTTTAGGAGTTAAGTGCCTTGCTCAAGGAATCAAATTGCAGGGAATTTGGTATTTGATTACGATCCCCATTAGCTGTTGCAAAAGCTGCAGATACTCTTCCTGGGGTCCACACAAAACATGACATAATACAAAACATTATTAGACAGCTCAAGGCTTTTAAAGGCACACGTAGCCTACATATCAATACATACAACACTGCTTTGCTTTATCTTGGCCAGGTCGCAGTTGTAAATGAGAACTTGTTCTCAACTGGCTTACCTGGTTAAATAAAGGTGAAATAAATAAATAAAAAATACACACAAACTATCTAGGTCAAATAGGGGAGAGGCGTTGTGCCGTGAGGCGTTGCTTTATCTGTTTTTTGAAACCAGGTTTGCTGTTTATTTGAGCAATATGAGATGGAACGGAGTTCCATGCAATAATGGCTCTATATAATACTGTACACTTTCTTGAATTTGTTCTGGATTTGGGGACTGAAAAGACCCGTGGTGGCATGTCTGGTGGGGTAAGTGTGTGTGTCAGAGCTGTGTGCAAGTTGACTATGCAAACAGTTTGGGATTTTCAACACATTAATGTTTCTTATAAAAAGAAGAAGTGATGCAGTCAGTCTCTCCTCAACTCTTAGCCAAGCCATGCATAATATTTATAATGAAGAGCAAGACGTGCCGCTCTGTTTTGGGCCAGCTGCAGCTTCGGAATGGCAGGATACCTAGAATCCCACAACATTTGTGACCAAACTCATATGCCCAAACATGGCCTACTTTCAGAGCAAAGTACAGGTTGATAAGGAAAAGCAGACTCCTCCTGTGACTGTCCACATTGTGACCCAAATCATCATGTGGTTATACCAGAGGAGAGGTGCTCACCGTCACATTGAGATAGACAATCCTCTTGTCCTCGTCGTAGGTGACGAAGATAGACTTGACGCCCACGTAGGAGACGTCTATGGTACGAGGGAACAGGAAGAAGACAGCCAGGCTGGACAGCAGCAGACACACAGCCACCGAGGCCGTCACATACAGCTTTCTGTGGAGAGGAGGGAGAACAAAGGCAGGGTCAGAAGTTAAATAGCAGTTTGACAAATGCAGGGTACAAAGAATATTGTAACAAGAAAGTAATAGCTACTTGCACAGTCGCATCGGAAAACATTATTGTGACGTTTATCCTAGTGGGGCGGCAGGTAGCTTAGTGGGTAAGAGCGTTGTGCCAGTAACCGAAAGGTCGCTGGTTCTAATCCCCGAGCCGACTAGGTGAAAAATCTGTCGATGTGCCCTTAAGCAAGGCACTTAACCCTAATTGCTCCTGTAAGTCGCTCTGGATAAGAGCGTCTGCTAAATGACTAAAATGTAAATGTAAATGTAAGCTAGAGATACCAACCCAACAACATTCCACTTACGTTCTCCTAGGCCTGAGTCTCTGGTCACTGTATGGGATCAACGCCACCAGCTGGTTCTCTTGGCCTGCGTAATGCAAGGAAACATTTAAAACACTTAGGCTAATCATCTGACATAACTACAGCACAATATTACAGCAACACTAGGGATGTAACGATCCACCGATAGGCATCAGTCCCTGGTTCAACTGTTTAAGATACGTGTGCATCGGTTCACAGGAGCCTAAACCGATCCAAATGTGGCATGAATCAGTCAGAAATTCTATTCAAACGTTACAAACCGCCGGTTCACAAATTTTTTTTACTCATATAATTTAATTTCCCCTCTACGAAAATACCTCAACATTTTTTGTGACTGAATTGATGCATCCTCTCCTTCAGTAGCTATCGAACTAAGCATGTAAATGCATATGACAGTCATTGATCTCCATGTCAGATAACAACTGCACGCACAGAGTGCAGCTGGTCGCGCCAACGAGAGCCTATCCCTGATCTAATATCTGCGCAGCACCTTCAGCATTCAAATTATTGTAAAATGGCTTTGGCAATGTAAAATCATAGGCTTCATTAGTTGGGTGAATTTTTCGATTGCCAGGTTCACCATAAAATAGTTTTGCTTTAAATAGTCAGTGCATTTGGTCATTTTTACATGAACAGGATGAAGTTGTAATTTCATAACAAGGACAGCAATCATTTTTGCGAGCTGCACTCTAGGCCTATGGTCGGAGCGGGAGAAGAGCAGCTCTCCTCTGTAAAGTTCTAAACGGTCAAAACCATTCGCTTTTGAGACGGGTGAAATCCAAAGCTGTGCTATATTAATTCATAGCAAGAGCCTGATCGACAAATAATTTCACAGATATTATTGGCAAATATTGGTATTTTACCAATTTATTGATATCGGCCGCCAATAATTCCACCGATATTCGATAAATAGGATGAAAAGGGCATATATATTTTTTTTTAATTTATCATTAAGGATAGGAGGCTCAAAGAAGAGGTTACCACAGGATAGCGGTAAGTCACTTTCTCAGCAAAACCTCTCACAGAGATAGCCTGGTTCCAAATAGGCATGTGCTTCAGGGAAGAGAACAGAGCTGTGAAGTAGCACAGTCAAGTTATTTGTCATAGAGCCCTGAAGGAGTGACTTCACAGCTGCAGTGTTTTTCCTATAAAACCCAGGGGTTATTACTTGACTGTGCCTGGTGCGTGCATGTTTGTGTTCATGTTGTGTCAGAATCTGTGTGTGGGTTTGGGTGTGTGTTTTCATCATGTGTTCAATCATATGGTGTTCCTAGGTGGGGGTTGATGCTGGCCCTCAGATCTTCTCCTATGCTATTTGCACTTATGCCACAGCCTCGGGGGGAAAAACTCAAGAAAATAGTTTATTCTCCATAAGATTTGTTTCATTAAATTGTGAAATAATCAATGGCTGTTGTGAATATAGGTACATTATGATTCTTGGCATTATGACAATAGTCAAAGGAGTGGGACTGCAAGTTCCAACAGAATCACCTATATTCACAACAGCCCTATTGTCCTGAGAGTTTTTCCCAAGGCTACAAAGCGCCACACGGTACCCTTAGTTTTGACACACAAAACAGAAAATCATTTGAATTTTGGAACTAATGTTCCTACAGCATGTCATCACACCCACCAGTGGAGAGAGCCTGCTCTAGCCATTGGTTTTAGGTGGTTTGAACAACCAACTGATATACTATAAACTTAGCACCCGACTGATATGTAGTTTCACCGATATTATCGGTTGATATTGGCCTTTTACTGGAATATATCCATGTCGGCCGATAATAAGATGACAAAGGGAATCTCATGCTTATCTGAACACTTGCAGCCCATATCATGACATGTCATTATTGTCACAATGTAAGAAATTAACATTTGAAGCACATTTCTTGGACAATTGCTCTTTTGGATGGCAATTTATGAGAACAGTGTGAAAAAAAAGTCACTTTTTCATTTCCCCACCGTAAAAACAGCAGGATATATCGGCAGATATATATCGGTAAGTTTTGTCCTCCCATAAAATCTTAGCTAGTCATAGCTAAGTTCTACAGATAAATATAGACATATTCCTTAAAACACTATCTGATAAAATGACAAGTTAATCAGTGGATGATGGGGATTTTCAGATACAAAGTGAGGGGGACAAAAAGCATATTGCTATTGGTAAATGCTCAGTCTACCCTATGGCTCAGCCCAGGAGCCTACACACAGCATATACATCATTCTCTCTCTTACACACACACACACACACACACACACACACACACACACGTCATCTCAGACAGATCCAGCTCAGAAAGGCCCAGCAGTATCAGATTTTAAATTTTACCGAATCGCATCGATTCATTCCACTTATCAAACCGAATCGCACTGAACCTTTTCAAAATAAAAGTATCGTTCCTGTATTGTGTCAGAGCCAATGTACCTAGCTAGATACGTATCGAATCGTGCTTGAAAGAAGAGATTCACATCCCTAAGCAATACTGTACAACATTATTATCCCTCAGAGGGGAAATTCACCAGGCTCCGGGGATAAAATAATATAGTGAGTCTACGGGCAAAGCATGAGTTATTCATTCAGCCATTGGTCTCATTCCCTCAAGCCCACAGAGTGAGTCAGAGTCACACCATTCATTATCCACAAGAGAGCACCTTTGTGGTTTTCCATACACATCATAACACTTCAACTGCAGTCTGACTATGACACTGAACAGAACAAAACTCTTACCCAGTCATATTCATTCAAATGGTATAGCATCTTAACCAAGTTATCTGGGACCAGGCTAGTAGTAGTCTCAACTCCTCCTGTTTACCTCTAGGTATCCTGTCTCTACCCTGACAGTGAACTCTACATAAGTATGCATGTGGTGCTCACCTCTAGGTATCCTCCCAGTGCCCTGGCAGCTGGGACATGTGACGCTGTCCCGGCCTGTGAACTCTACGTAGGGGAACTGGGACACATCCTCTCTCTTCCCATCATCCTCCTGGGTGTCGGTCAGGCTGTCCTGGGAGTCTTCGTGGCATGCCTGCTTGGGCAGGAGGGAAAGGGCCTTCCCCATGGTCACGCCTGGAGGAGAGGGTCAGAGGTTACAGGTTGCTGTTTGTTTGTCATGTTTTTAAAAAAATACATTCATACCGAAATGCCAAGACAATAAAAGCGTTTTAAATCATTACGTTTATCTTTCCGTTTTCTTCAAGAGTACTTTGATGGGAAAAGTCCCAAAATAAATGTTTCGTTTAGTAAGTGATGGCGTTCATCCCTATATGTTGTCTTACTGGATGCCTTTTAGAGCAGGGCTGGAGGAAAAAGCCTGTACTGTACACCCAGCAGTAGCTCTCCAGGAGGAGGGTTGGCCAACCAATGCAATACTTGTAGCTATACATCAATCAGGATTTGACAAAACTAGAAGTTAGCTAGCTATCTAGACATTGATTGGGTAACATTGGCAGGCTGGCTTCTTCAAGTCAACAAGAAATTGCCAAATAACAAGGTCTATAGCTAGATACAGGTTCAATACAATGATATCAAGGGAACCTAGCTAGATAAGCTTGCTAACATGATAACTGGCTTTGGCTAACAAACGGGAAAGTTAATCTTTGTTTAATTCACTGCTCCACTCCACTCATCATGCCAAGTATGCTAACTAGCTAGTTAGCTATATGGCATTGTCATTAATTGAGATTCCTCATCGGTTAGCAAGAGTCATTTGACTGTCGACTGGTTTGTAAACTAGCTAGTAAATCAACTATCATAACATAAGCTGGCTAATTAGCTAGCGAAAATGGCAGCAAAAGGATAACGTTAGCAGGCTAGCTAACGATAGCAACTGCTAGCTAGCATCAGCACAGCAGGCCAGTCTTGTTTGCTATATGCGCTGGAATAAAATGTATAACAGTATACTAGCTATTTTACGGTGAAATGAAATTATTATTGTCCGTCTTACCAGAAAACAAGTTGTTTTTTTCCTAGCAATCGTTTTAGGTTATGCAGGTCTTGTTCATCTATCAAACAACCTGACATGCGCAGTGCGTTTGGGATGATGACGTTCTTGTCAGCTGATGAGTAGTCAGAAAATAAATACAAGTTTTGGTCACCTCGGACAACGGGACATAGCTAGAAGGGATCAAGATTCTGTCAAATTAATGCGTTTTAGCTAACTCTAACCCTAACCTAATTATCCTAACAGCTACGTTAACTCTCCTAACCTGCTGTGAAAATTCTCCTAACCTGCTACGAAAAGTCAAATCTGACAAAAGCTGGATCCCGTCTAGCCATGACCCTGTCAACGCCTACAATAAACAATACAAATCCACAATTTAGCGCGCGAGGCTACAAAGTACTTTTTTAACCGCGACGGATTGTACATGTCGATTGATCCTCGCACTAAATTGAAAGACATAGCAAAACAGTACAAGAAAGTACTTCTGCAGGTCCTTGTAACACGTTTTTTGAAGTAAGAATGTGAAAAAGAAGTACTAAGCTATTTCAGGCATTTCTATGACTAAGACATGTCCTCCAAACAATCAGCAAATTATCTTCAATTATCGCAACAATTGTAGGCCTACTAATTTGAAATGTTCATATTCTTGCAAACAAAATCTGTAGGAATTCATGAGCTGCAGTTCTGTTTCTATCCACATGATGGCAGTGGCATTTAGTGTTTGAAATCCACCCACCACCGCCTAATGTACTAATTTACTGTGATACGTGTTTTGATTGTGCAACAATAATCTTATAGGCCTATATCTTCTGGAAACATGTGGCTTTTAATCCCTGTTATATCAATGCTTAACCAGCCTCATTCCTTTGTCATCAGCTGGATATCACCCAGATAGTACAGCATTGATTAGCATACAGCCCGCCACACCCTTATAAAGAGCATATCTTTCCATTTACATTTACATTATTTAGCAGACACTCTTATCCAGAGCGACTTACAGGAGCAATTAGGGTTAAGTGCCTTGCTCAAGGGCACATCAACAGATTTTTCACCTAGTTGGCTCGGGGATTAGAACCAGTGACCTTTCGGTTACTGGCACAACGCTCTTAACCACTAAGCTACCTGCTAGTGTTATACTAGTCAAATGAGATATAAAAAAAAGTTTATTCTTGACTTAAGTAATATACCAAATAAGAAAATATATAGTAAAACTATTAATAGGGGCTGCATTCCTCATAGGAGTGAAATGTACAAAGCAGTTGGGCTTAACTAAAACGCACAGAGGAAAAGTGGGGTGGGGGCAGCAGACTGCTATGGTGCAGTGCACTATACAAACCAAATGTAATCAGTTGGCATGCAATTATGCACCAGCAAGAGGTTTTAATGGCCATGCTTATAACAGTGTGTGTTGGAGCACAATATTATAATTTCCCCATCTCTGTTTGCATTGCTGTCTCTGCCCTCATTTGTCCCACTCCCACCACCAATAGATTGGTCTTTGTAGTGTGTGAGTGTGCATGTGTGCGTGTGTGTACTGAGCTGGGTTCAGTGGCAGCGCTACTAATCACTTTCATCATTATGTTCTCTCTCTCTTTTCCTCTGCATTAGGAGCAGTAGTGTAATGAGTCTCTAGTCAGTCTGTCATGTTGCGTTCTTTTTATTTAATGTTTATCCCTGTCCCCGTTTACTCTCTTTATATAACAGCATTTTAGTGGTTTTATTATCCATTACTGAGATGATACAAAGAGAATGTGACAAAATATTTAATCCTGGTTTCTCTAATCTAATCTGGCATTGTTTTATGTGGGGCCTGTCCTGCTTTTATGTGGGGCCTGTCCTGCTTTGATGTGGGTCCTGTCCTCTTTTTTCAGGTCAGGATTATTTTCTCTCAAGTGCAATGTTGCATGATTTTAAAATGAAGGCTGATATGATACTAACACAAGTTACACAATTTTTTTTATCATTGAAAAAAGGACAAAACAAACAAATGTAGACACATCCAATCACAGCCACAATACCTGGGACAGACTATACCTAGCCTCCATTTCCAGTCTGTCATGTAGTTGTAGGTACAGTTGAAGTCGGAAGTTTACATACACTTAGGTTGGAGTCATTAAAACTCGTTTTTCAACCACTCCACAAGTTTCTTGTTAACAAACTATAGTTTTGGCAAGTCGGTTAGGACATCTACTTTGTGCATGACACAAGTCATTTTTCCAACAATTGTTTACAGACAGATTATTTCACTTATAATTCACTGTATCACAATTCCAGTGGGTCAGAAGTTTACATACACTAGGTTGACTGTGCCTTTAAACAACTTGGAAAATTCCAGAAAATTATGTCATGACTTTAGAAGCTTCTGACAGGCTAATTGACATCATTTGAGTCAATTGGAGGTGTACCTGTGGATGTATTTAAAGGCCTACCTTCAAACTCAGTGCCTCTTTGCTTGACATCATGAGAAAATGAAAAGAAATCAGCCAAGACCTCAGAAAAAAAATGGTAGACCTCCACATTCTGGTTCATCCTTGGGAGCAATTTCCAAACGCCTGAAGGTACCACGTTCATCTGTACAAACAATAGTATGCAAGTATAAACACCATGGGACCACACAGCCGTCATACCGCTCAGGAAGGAGACGCGTTCTGTCTCCTAGAGATTAACGTACTTTGGTGCGAAAAGTGCAAATCAATCCCAGAACAACAGCAAAGGACCTTGTGAAGATGCTGGAGGAAACAGGTACAAAAGTATCTACAGTGGGGAGAACAAGTATTTGATACACTGCCGATTTTGCAGGTTTTCCTACTTACAAAGCATGTAGAGGTCTAATTTTGATCATAGGTACACTTCAACTTCAAAAATCCAGAAAATCACATTGTATGAGTTTTAAATAATTAATTTGCATTTTATTGCACGATATAAGTATTTGATACATCAGAAAAGCAGAACTTAATATTTGGTACAGAAACCTTTGTTTGCAATTACAGAGATCATACGTTTCCTGTAGGTCTTGACCAGGTTTGCACACACTGCAGCAGGGATTTTGGCCCACTCCTCCATACAGACCTTCTCCAGATCCTTCAGGTTTCGGGGCTGTCGCTGGGCAATACGGACTTTCAGCTCCCTCCAAAGATTTTCTATTGGGTTCAGGTCTGAAGACTGGCTAGGCCACTCCAGGACCTTGAGATGCTTCTTACGGAGCCACTCCTTAGTTGCCCTGGCTGTGTGTTTCGGGTCGTTGTCATGCTGGAAGACCCAGCCACGACCCATCTTCAATGCTCTTACTGAGGGAAGGAGGTTGTTGGCCAAGATGTCGCGATACATGGCCCCATCCATCCTCCCCTCAATACGGTGCAGTCGTCCTGTCCCCTTTGCAGAAAAGCATCCCCAAAGAATGATGTTTCCACCTCCATGCTTCACGGTTGGGATGGTGTTCTTGGGGTTGTACTCATCCTTCTTCTTCCTCCAAACACGGCGAGTGGAGTTTAGACCAAAAAGCTCTATTTTTGTCTCATCAGACCACATGACCTTCTCCCATTCCTCCACTGGATCATCCAGATGGTCATTGGCAAACTTCAGACGGGCCTGGAAATGCGCTGGCTTGAGCAGGGGGACCTTGCGTGCGCTGTAGGATTTTAATCCATGACGGCGTAATGTGTTACTAATGGTTTTCTTTGAGACTGTGGTCCCAGGTCTCTTCAGGTCATTGACCAGGTCCTGCCGTGTAGTTCTGGGCTGATCCCTCACCTTCCTCATGATCATTGATGCCCCACGAGGTGAGATCTTGCATGGAGCCCCAGACTGAGGGTGATTGACCGTCATCTTGAACTTCTTCCATTTTCTAATAATTGCGCCAACAGTTGTTGCCTTCTCACCAAGCTGCTTGCCAGCCTATTGTCCTGTAGCCCATCCCAGCCTTGTGCAGGTCTACAATTTTATCCCTGATGTCCTTACACAGCTCTCTGGTCTTGGCCATTGTGGAGAGGTTGGAGTCTGTTTGAGTGTGTGGACAGGTGTCTTATATACAGGTAACGAGTTCAAACAGGTGCAGTTAATACAGGTAATGAGTGGAGAACAGGAGGGCTTCTTAAAGAAAAACTAACAGGTCTGTGAGA